TGCTTCTCGGGAGCGCGCTTCCTTTCCACCACCTCTCCAGATGGGAATATTACTTTCACGGGGCTCCTCCGCAGCGCCCGGACCCAGCGCCGCGCTCTGAGGTCCCAAGTCTGGACGACCGGCAACGATGGTTTCACAGCACACCTCATGCATCTCGCCAGAGCAGCCATCTTCCTGGCGCCTAGAGTTACGTCAGCGATCGCCGTCGCCGGCGGGCGATGTCTAATGACGTCACATGCGCTCGCGCAGTTCGGTGTCTGTTGCCTTGCTGTTCCGTGGAGGCGCTTTGATTTTGGAAGACATGACTTCTCGCCGAGCTTTGCATTTTGTGTTCAAAGTGGGAAATCGCTTCCAGACGACGCATTTCTTTCGGGATGTCCTGGGGATGAAGGTGGAGGCCTGGGGCAAAAGGGGTCGGCTGGGACGGGCGACCGAGCCGCGCTTGGTGAAGCGGGGGGTGGAGAAGTTGCTGTGTAGTGAAGCCAGAGGACTGCGAAAAATGTATCGAACTCCCTGACGTTAGGCCGAGAGTCCTCCCTGGCGTTGTAGGATTTTCACCTTCAGTAAACGGTGCGAATCGCTGAGTATAATAAGTACGGTCGTTTTTGAATTTGCTAAGATCAAGTGTAGACAGTTTTTTTAAGAACTAACACGACTTGCTTTATCATTTAGTTCATTTACGAGTGTTAATGAGCCTTTGCTCCTGGGAAACTACAGCCTACGGAAAAGCAAAAAGTTATATATTTGTAAATTTTGATTTCTGTGTAGATCAGAATATTTAAAGTCGCCCCTGCCCGTCCCGGACCCTCCCCGTCCTGTAGCTTGAACCCAAACTCTTCATACTGAGCGACATCCTCTGGATTTTGTACTTTCCTTCGTTCTTTCGTATTTAGTTATTTAGAAACAGGATCACGCTACGCCCATACTGGCTGGGCTCGATATTGCTATCCTCCTTCTTCAGAGTTCTGCTCTAGTCATGGTTGGTTCGAATGGTCTCTTTTTTGGGTACTCAGTCTCCCCTGATAAATCTAACTCTGACTCTGACTCTCAACACTTCAGATTTAAGAATGAGGACAGAATCCATTTCCTCAGTACTTGGAAGCAGCCCATCTCTGGGCCTGAGAACTAATTCTGCAGAAGTCGCTTAGCTAAAAACTCAGAAATTACTGGGGAATTCATGATAAGCTAGAAAGAAAGGAGGGTAGAAAGCACACTAGCCTTTGGAAGGGCATGAGTTTCGTGTAGTATGGACACTACAGAAGATGTGGTAAAGGAATTCCTGGATTTGCCAATCGTTTTTAAAATGTCTGCTCTTTTTTAGGATACTATGTTGACTTTTCAGGAAAGGTGCAAATAATCTTGGTATCTGTCCTCAGAACTCATGGTCTGGGATAGAATGGAAATGGGAATTGCATTTGTGCATAGCTAATAGCATTAGAACCCAGAGTTTGATAAATGATAGCAGAAAACCATAAAGCACAGCTTTGTTTTTTGTTTTTGCAGAACTGGGGGTTAAAGGTTCTGCCTTAACTGTATTTCTTTATTGATCTAAAGGTTGTTGTGAAGGTAAATGTTGATTATATAAAGATAATATTGGACATACTAGTTAAAGGGTTCTTGTGAAGATTAAACATGTTATTTATTGGCTAGATGGTGTTCAAAATATAGGTACTATTCAACGCATAAACAATATTTGTTCTAGGGCTGGGAGATGGCTCAGTAGCACAAGGTCCCGAGTTCAATTCCCAGTTCTGAAAAAAAAATTTTTTTTTTCTGTAAGTGTTAGCAACTTTATAAAAATACGAAAGGAGTTGAGGATGTAGCTCATTGGTACAGTGCTTGCCCCAGCATACAGGAGGCCCTGAGTTCAGTCTGTAGCCCTATGAACACAACATGACACAAGAAAAAGATAGGGGCTGGGGAGATAGCTCAGTAGAATAAGTGCTTGCCTGGCAGGCACAAGGGCCGGAGTTAAATCCCCAGTTGTGCAAAAAAAAAAAAAAAAAGATAAATTTTCTGACCTGGCTCACCAGTAAATAATTCATGGAGACTTTGCATTTAAGTTGACCTCTAAATATAGATAAGATTTCCAGATCAAGATCATAGCCATGAATTATTACTTAAACTGAGTAAACCATACAAAGATTCATTTGGGACATGCCATTAGTTTTATGTACCTTTAATTTAGCTAAGGTTACTTATTTGAGGTTAAAGAGATGAGATATCAAGCCAGGTAGGCTGGAATTGCTTCTGATAAGAGTTTTGAATGTTGTGATAAGGGATGAGGATTTTATGCTGGATAAGGGAGGAGTTCTTTTACATTTTTAGAACAGGGCAGTGTTGTAATAATAGTTGTATTTTAGAAGTATACTGTTGGGGGCCTGCCCCTTAGCTCAGTTCTTTAAGTGGCTGCTTCAACCAAGCAGTCAGGCTCAGGTTGCTGTGGTTCGATCCCCACAACACAAGACAGCCAGTCATGCCTTGAAGGCATTAGAAACAAAAAAAAAAAAAAAAGAAGTATACTGTTATAGTGATGTTAAGGAGGAAGATCAATGAAAGATCATTTTTAGTAGTCTTTAAAAGAACATTCACCAGGCGTGAGGTAATCCCAGCATTCAGAAAGCTGCTTGAGGTAGGAAGATCTCTGTGAATTTGAGGCCAGCCTGAACTGCAGAGTGAGTTCAAAGCCAATCAGAAGAAGAGATGAGGAGGAGGAAGTGGAGGAGATTATTCAGTTGCAATAGTAGCAATGGAAATTTAAAAGGAAAATAAAAATTAAGACTTTGAGGGGCATAGCGAGGCTGTCTTTAAAAAATCAAGACTTTGAGAGCCCACTGTGTACTGGCTTCTGTGTTAGATGCTTTGACTAAGCTACTTACTCAGAGTTAGGCAGTGTTGGATAGCAGCCAGAGAAACCAGACCTTTTTCATTACACAATGTTGCTTCCGAATCTAAAGAGAGTTATCATTTTTCTCCCGGTCTGACTCTTGTATCAGACTGCTCTTTTGTACCTGTACTTTAGCCTGAAAAAGATACTAAGTACCTCCCTTCCCCCATCTTTAAATAAAGCTTACAAATGATACTGTCTTATGTTTTGACCTTTTAGCTTGTGCTAAGTATACAATATGTGGTGCTAATAGAACTTTACAATCCTATTGCTTGTACCAGGTTCTGCGGCATGAAGAATTTGAAGAAGGCTGCAAAGCTGCCTGTAATGGGTATGACACTTGGAATCTTAAAATCTCCTTTAAACTCTGAATAACCTCAGGTTAGTGTAAGACAGTGAAATAAATTAAGAAAACAGTAAATTAAGGAGACAACTTGAGGAACGCTGCAGACGTCCTGCATTTCTCTCCACTTTCACACATTTCTGGTGCACAAAGCTGTTCTCTAGCTCTTCAAGTACCAACTAGGTGTCCTACCATTGAATTCATTTCTGTACCTCTTTGGAGTTGATGTCAGAGCCTACAAGCTAAAGGCTCAGTCCCACAAGATACCTCTACTTCTGATGCCAGTAACAAGTCTGAGCTATAAACTGAAGGTTTTGAGGCTTACTGGGATTTGCCTGTTTGATGTGCAAAGAAATAAACTATAAAGTCAGGTTGGAAAACTGTCTTTAGGATTCAGTTTCCTCCTTTGAAGAAAACATCAGTGAATCTTTCCCTTTAGTAAGTGCCAAACAAGTGATCTTTGGAACTTGTGCCTGGGACCCTTGAGCACTAGCCATCGCTGTTCTCAGCCTCTTGTGGTCATCTCATCTTGTGAACTCACAGGACCAGAAAGGACTGCCCACTTACTTGTGTTCACTAGTTCTTTGGGGAAGGGGAGCTGAGGTAGCTTTTGTGTGGTCACTGTGTTCATTTACTTTCAATTTTCTAGGCCTTATGATGGGAAATGGAGTAAAACAATGGTGGGATTCGGGCCTGAAGATGATCATTTTGTTGCAGAGCTGACTTACAACTATGGCATTGGAGACTACAAGCTTGGCAATGACTTCATGGTAAATATTCTGTCCCGGGAGATTTTTGGCTAGGAAGATTTATTTTAACTTAAAGTGAGGTTGGCTGTCCATATGCAGAACATTGAGTCTAGACCTATATCTCAGCATGAACTAAGCTAAAATCAAAGTAATCCAAAAAAAGAACTAACTGTTGAACATTTAACCTGCTGAAAGAAAAGTAAAACTTGAAGTCGTAGATGTAGGCAAGGAATTTGCAAACACAACACCATTTGCACAGTAAATAGTACCAAGTACCAGCAAATGGAATCATATCCAATTAATTCCAAGTAGGGTCAGTGAGGAGGTATTGTTAGAGCAAAGGTTCGAAGAAGGTGAGGGACCTTGCCATGTGGCTAAGGGGGATATGGGGATGGGTGGAAAGGCCACTCCAGACAGAGAGAAGACCCTGTGCAAAGGGCCTTAGGCAGGGCCTGCGGGAATGCAAGGAAGCCGATATGGCCAGAATAGAGAGAACGAGGAAGATGGTAAGAGATAGGGTCAGAAATGGTGTGGGCTCAGATTGTGTGAACCCTGTAGGCATTTACTTCTGTCCAAGTGGAGTGAAGAGCTATTGAAAGTTTTTGTTGTTGGTTTGGTATTGTTTTTTTTGAAACTACTATGCTTATGTAGTTTAGGCTGGCTTTATACTCACTCTAAGCCCTGGCTCGTCTCAGAACTCATGGTGATCCTCCTGCCTCAGCTTCCTATGTGCGGGGATTACAGGTGTGTGTGACATCACACCCAGCCATTAAGGGTTTTGTAGTTTGGAAAGTATTCTGGCTGCAGACTGGGGGATAGGATTAACAGGAATAGAACAGAGGTTATTATGATAGTCTAGGCAAGAAATGAAGCTAGCTTTATATGAAGGCAAGTTACATTATTAGATACTTTGATTAAAGAAAGAGAGTATAAACAAATCATCTCAAATAGGTTGCTGGCAGGCTACAATCACGTAAGATTGTGATTTCTGTGGCTAGATCTTAAAAATTTGAAGAGATTATTATTAAATGGATCAGACTTCACTGGCATTTGAATTTTTGTCCTGTGATTTATGAAGTTCTGAGCCTTTGTGGAAGTAAATATCCAAAACTACTTTAAAGTTACTAGAACA